TGGGGAAAGCCAGGTCCTCTCCCTGGACCTGTGGGGTCAGTCCGCCTCGTAAACCTCAGAGCTGTGGATCAGTCTTTAAAAGCCTCACTCACACCGACGCACAAAGGATTGAACCTGGACCACATGCACCCTAAAGTCACCCTGGACACCGGAATTTACCCCAAGGGAGCACACTGGAATTTACCCCACACGGTTTCACAAACATCAACCCCATCCAAGGTTCCTTTAAACCAACCCCCCAAGTCTGGGTCTCCCACATGGAAGCACCCACCACATCCTGTACCCACCACATCATGATGCGGCGACAAAAGGCACCACTGAGAAACACAGACAGCCGGAGGCCCTGGCGCTGGTCTTCATGTTGATGGCTCCCAGGCTTCATCGGGCAAGGCCCTTCCGTCCGAAGGGGAGGGGACCGAGGGGAGCCTGACATAGGGGGCGTGTGTGTGTGTTCCCATTGGGTTTGGGGGAGGATTGACGGCGAAACCGGGTGAAGCACAAGGTGAGTAAGTGCGCGTGTGTGTGTTTTTTTGCGACAGTGGGAGACATTTGGATGACGAGGTGTATAGTGAAGAAGATTGGTGTGTTTCGTTTATCTCTCCACCACGGTGTGGTGGTATGTGGTGGTCTTCACTATATGAACATGTTGTTTTGGGAAGCATGACATGCAGTTTGGACATGCAGGTGGGTTCTTCAACTTGGAGGTCTTGGTCCCAATTACAGTCATTGTTTGTGCCATCCTTCAGCTTGGAGGGCTCCTAACTTGCTGATGCCTACTTGGAACAGAGTCCTCAAGGACATCGGTCGACCTTCGACGTCGACAGCGGTGGACACCGCAGAGGGGGGCCTCCGCACCGGTGTTCATCGCCCCAGCGCGTCGAGAGACCGCGCGCCAACGGTCCGGGCCGCGCGGTGTTGCCCGGAGATGGACTAGGGAATCTACTGGAAGCTGTGCAGAGGGTGTTTGGTGACATGCCCATCCCCATGATCAGCATCCCGGAATGCCCTCCAAAGCAGCCAGTGACCTTGTTCCTGGGTCGAAGACCAGGCCATCAGTTGTTCCAGAAGAAGTTTACAATCGCGATCCAGGAGGCGGGTTCATCCGTTCTGCGCAGCAAAAGGACGGAAGACACTGATAGACCGAGTCGATCTTCTCTCCATGTAACCACTCAAAGATCCGGAAACGATGGGACACGGGCGATAACTCGATGGGCTGGAGCACCCAACGTCATGTGTTGAACAAACACGTGCTGTTCCTTGTGTGTGCAACGAGCGCATGTTTGTCAAGCTGGTGGCGGTTGATTCATCAAGCCCGACTATCCCGGGGATAGAAGTTACGTGAGCCATTCATGTCACTGTCCGAAGAATTGTAGTTGCATCGCTTGGAGTTTGTGACTTTAGTCTTGAGCGGAAGAACAGCTGGGCTATGCTATGACTCTGTGATTTGGCGGGGGACTCCTCAGGGAGCACATCAAACTACCCTCATGAAGAACCTGAACCCCGTTTGTATCCGTTTGTATATTTATGAATGAGTGCGTCGCTGGATCACTAGTAGGAAGACTAGACCCCCAAGCAAGATCTGGAGGAGTGCATAATTAGCTGGTCGGCAGGATGTAGCAATCTGCTACTTGAGTGCCCACTGCTACTTGAGTGCCCACAAAGATTAGAAGGATGGATGAGTGTCAGTGGTGCCAGTTACTCCGGTTTGTCCGGTTTCACACAATCAAGCTTTTGAGGTATGTAGTGCGCAGACAAACATGACTTTGACAACCGGGCAGGCATATCGTTCAAGAAAAGAGGGCCATTCGCCGATGCCATTGGAGAGCATTGTCAGTCCTGATGTCACGTGTGGGATCACGTGGGTTCAGCCCAGAGAGGATTGCATTATCCAGGCTCCAAGTCAATCGGAAAATGGAGAGTTGAATTTATGACCTAAATAGAATAATGCATGCTCAAGTTTGATTTACACATGAACAAAAGATCACCTTTTTTGTGTACGGCCAGGAGTGAACACGCACGGCTGAGTTCGATGGCCACAAGGAAATGGCCGGAGGGCCTTGCCGAATGTTCCAGTTTGGACGCAGCAGTCTTGCAGAATGCAAGACTGCTTGTAATGAAACTTGAGAAGATTCACAGAGTCGACTCCGGTAAACCGGTATACCCATCAATTTTCCCAAGAACTGTATATATGTTTTCTGCCCTGGGCGTTGCAGTGGACGTCCCCCAAGCCGGTTGCAGGCCTAAAACAATCGGATGGGCCGCGTGTTTCGAGAGATTTTGATGCCGAGGGCTTTGTGAATCTTTTGCCACCACACCCACCGCCACTCGTTGCCTGCGAATGGCAGTACTGGGGTTAGAACATGGCTCGACAAACGCCGCTGGAGCGTTCAGGGTGTGGAGCGTTGCCGTCGCATGGAGAAGTCCACCAAAGGGTAAAAGAGTACTGAATCAGAGAATATCACAAGGTCTAATTCCCAACAGAAACACTCTCAACTGGAACTTCGGTAGACATCTTCATATATATATATATACATTGTAATAGTATGTACTAGTGATTTGCATATATCCCGTAAACTTGACTCAGATCGATCACTTTTGGTTTCTTCTTCAAGTGCACAAGCTCAGGTTTGGCCTTGTTTCCAATTTGTTGCTTTGGAGCACCTGCTACAAAACCACCAACGGGCTCAGAACGCGACTCGTTTTCGACCGCACCCAGCGTCTCCACCGTCTGTCTCACCCCCCTCCGTCCCCTTGACGTTTCGGCCGCCGAAGGGCGGCCGGGCATGGAGCTTTGGCGCAAAAGAAGCTGAATCCGTCGTGGGTGAGGAAAAGGGTGTTGTGTTCTTTTTGTTTTTTTGTTTGTGTTTTTGTAATTATGTGTTTAATGTGCCTATTGCATCTTGGCATGTTATGTTGTTGATTTTGTTTTGTTGTGTGTGTGTTTTGTTTTGTGTGTGTGTGTGTGTCGAGGGGCAGGCGTGACACAGGTATGCCGGATTTTTGTGGGTTTTGGGTGGCCAAAGCATTGCCATACTGCTATGCTTATATATGTGACATTGTGTGACTATCGACTGCCATAGACCCAACATGAATGGAGACCCACTGTTTGGCTGGTCTTTGTCCACTGGATAGGTCATAGACCTTGGACCTCATGAGGAAGTACATAGGGTACATCAAAATATATCATAGCGTATCAACATAAATCAATACAATATCGTTTTAGTCCATAGTTCGTTCATGTTCGTTCCTTCCGGAAGGGCCTTTGAAACAGCAAACCCATGGATTCTTTTTGTTCGCCGCGCTGGTGTTTCGGGGTGCGACCGGGACGCCACCGGGCGACGGGAACGCTCCGCCGGAGCCGCGGTCGTCAGGGAGAAGCTGAACGAAGGCTGTTCGGCTGAGCGTGAGGCGCGGAGGTCGGAGGTCGAGTGAGGTGGATGAGCTGGTGGTCGTTGCAGGTCACCCTTTTTTTCGGGCATTGGGAACGCCCCATTTAAAGATGGTCTGTTATTTTCCACGGGAAGTGAGGGGGGTGAGAGTCAAGGAGACTTTGGGAAGGTGAGTATTTACTGTATCAATGAATCAATTGTGTAAAAGGATTCAGACGATCAAGGATTTGGTTTTGCACAAGCGACCAAGAACTCAGTGTTCTTGTCAGAGCTTGCTGGCTAGTCCATCCTATAGGAAGGTGTTCTACGTTGGTTCCTATTCTCACTCATCTAGATGAAAAGCCCTTTTGGCTTTGATCTGGGCCTTTACGGTACCTTCAGCGCTGAGTCCAACTGTCGCAGAACTCCTCGTCGGGTCGCCACTTTGTAGGCCTTACAGCAAGAGCTGCAAAAGCAGTTGGGAAACCAAGCTGGACAGAGCTTGGGCATGCGAGTTTGGTATTCCTTGAGGTGTAATGTACTCTAGTTGTTTGACGCTGTTGAATCTATCAGCGTCAATAGCAGCCGATGCTAAGGCTTTATTCTATTTTTTTTGGAGCAGAGGTCCATCGTGGAGCAGGCCATGGGACATGAGAATGTCATGGCACCGAGGAAGCAGACAATCTAGCCACACTGCTCTTGATGAACTATGATGTTGAATATAAGATTGGAACACCCCTAACATAGATCATTAACACAGAGCCCTTAGACGGATTGTGTCCAATGTCGTGCAGGAGTTTATCTTTTTACACCAAAACTAGACCACTAAAAGAGAGCCCACCACTTGGCAATTATAAGTTAGAATACTTACTTGCCATGCTCATCTAGACTAAACCTTGTGGGCGGCCAATGTTTACAGTGACTGAGTTTGTTTTTTTGTTTAAACAAATAAATAGTTTTGTGTGTGTTTTCGATTGCGTGTGTATCATCCATATCATGACGCGCAAGCGCAAAGGGCTTGGTTTGTCGGAGCTTTGCTTGCAGCGAAGCAAACTCTTTTTGTTGTCGTTGTTGACGTTTTCACAGGCTGTTTATCTTTCAAAACCAAAATGCTCCACGTTGGCCATGTTTGAGATTCATGTTGGTGCTTGCTGCATTCATCAGATCATGGGATAGGCACGACAGAGTGTTTCTTGGTTAACATCCTCCGTTTGCGCAAGCATCCAAGCACCTGTCAGAGAACAGACCTATGGTAGTACCTATGGTAGAAACCATTCTTGATCACAAACAGCTCCTTCCATCTATATTATACAGACGCGCACAGAACGATTGCTCACTAGTGATCGGGAGAGTTCCCGCATCCTGACATCACCCAGTTGTACACCCTGCACCAGCCGGTTGTGTTCCACTATTCCACTCTCCGTCCACACATTTGGAGTCAACAAAAACACGTATCCAGCTGTGGTGCAACAACATGTTTATAAATTATAATCCACTTGTATCTTTTACTTAGTGTCTTTCACAAAAAAACTGTGCACCACCTGCTTTTGTTGGTTTCTTGCAGACATGGGGAGACGAAGAAGATGACACCAGGTACTCTACACCCGCTTGAAGAAGGACTTGCTGCGGCGCATGCGCCGGAAGAAGCGTCCGGGCTCCCCAGGGAGCCGCAGGGCCGGCAGGGGGAAGGCTTTTGTTTGAGGACATTTGGTGGGTCTAAGAGTCATAGATGCGAATGAAACATAGTGACATCGTGAAACAGGTACAGTATATGATACACATTTACATGTGTTTTTGCGTTTGTGATCAAAGACGATTGAAGTGGCTGAACCATGTATAGACAGCCTAACTTGAGGGTTCTCGCTTGGACTTGGCAGGCTCGCACACAAAGCACGCAGGTATACGCAAGTCATTTCCTTTGGCAGGTTTGCACTTGTGCTCTTGATTGATTCTCATGCTCTGCCTGGCAGCTCTTCTGAGCCTTAGCGCTGACTTTCGTTTTGAGTTGAGTTATGGGCTGGTGAGTGGTTACAGCTGAGAAAGGATGTGCAAGGCAAAGGTACAGTCTATCTACAGTATATGATTCTGATGATATTGTATATATAATATTATGTATCATATTAATGCAATATATGTTGTCCTGCCCTGAACTAGAAACACGACCCTTTGCTGCTCGACGGTCGATTCAAGGCGAACTCACTGTGAAGGAAAAGCTGCGGTTGCTGAGTGCGGCCATGGCGGACTATGATAATCAGGCCATACTTGGGTGATGCGGAACCAGAGGTGAAATTCGGGGTGAGGTTTGGATCAGGTGCAACATCTCCCACAAACAGCTTCTGATGAGAGCATATACTAGATATAACTGGTTGGATCACGTCACTATCGTCACTATAGATAACATTCTACCCAACTCTTGGCGCAAACTGGCTCAACTCCATCTTAATCATGTTGGTGTATAGCCCTAAGCATGGGTCAAGAGTGCAGAATATGTGTCAGTCCACAAGACAGCAGCTCGATGTGGTCCCCAAACCCATCCGAAGCAATCTGGTACGCAGCTGCCGAAAGCTCGAGTGTTTGCACAATCCTCAGGTGGCGGAGCTTTGCCCGTTCTTCGTGGAAAATCCTGAACGCGACCGGGCCGAGCGGAGGCCGCCCTCTTCGCGCTACGACAAGACTTAAGGATACTTAAGGACTATGCAGTGATGCCGGCTGTGAGGTCATGTGATAATAATATGTTATACAAATTCTCATGTCCGACCTCGAAGGAGATGGCTTTGAAGAACCTGGTAACCAAACCCTCGTACTATGTTGGACGGACAGTTAGAATACACTTTTTTTTTTTAAAGCGCAGTTAGAATATAGAAATTTAAATCGCAGCCAG